CCTACCTACTGCTCGCTCGTGGGGGGGTAAGAACACACCTTATCTCCCTGAGCCTGGCCTTCATAAGTCCATTCCATCAGAGCAACAGCGAGAGAGGATGGTTGCATGCTTGTTTGGTCTGCGTGCTTTCTGGCTGCGCCTGGTTATCTGTTGTCAGATGGAAGACGCTGGGCCAGGTGGGCTTTTGTTTGATCCATCACTGCTCTTTTCCTCTTTCTTCCGAGTATTTGCTGTGGCTGAAAGAAACCCAGTTGCAGGAGAAAGTGGAAGGAGCAGGGTAACAGGTAGCCCTTGCAGGGCAAACTGGTGGCCGTGGAAAACATTGCCACTTTTGAAAGGTCTCCTAACACGCCCTCATTGGAAGTGGGCACTGGGAAATAGCTGGTTCCACCCTGAGTCTGGCATACGAACAGAACTGTAGTTCAGGGGTACTAAAAGACAGTAAGAGAGGGCTTGAAAAACAATACCTCCCCACCAAATCTTTGCAGAGGATGAGGGACGGTTACTCATTACATTAAAGCAGCAACATTTGCAAGATAATACTTCTAACCTTGCAACTGATTAACTTCAGTAGAGCAAGAGGAGGGTTTAGTTCTGTATCCTTTTGAACTTAAGGTATTTCTAATAGAGCGGCCTCACCTAAGTTACGCCTTTCGTTCTTTGCAAGGTATGGCCGGAAAAGTGCTTCCCTCTCACTTTATTTATTTAATATTTTGATTTATATAGCCACCATCTGAGCAGCTCATAGCAATTAAAAACAATATAAAACAAAATATGTTTTAAAAAATTGTGTCCTGGAGATCTCTTTATAGGATCCTGCAGCACATTCTCTGAATGTTGATCCTTTGATCCTTCCTCTTCACGCCAACATGGAAAGGGTCCAGAGAACAAGCTCATGAAGCTCGGCAGGGGAGGGCCTTGTTTTGTTCATCGGAGGAACATGGAGATGGAGAGAGCTGCTCTTGGGATCGCTGTTGTTCTCCACTTCGGAAGGGCAGGCTGATTCCCCTCCTGGAAGAGAAAGGGACGAATATCCATCCTCTGTTCTCTAAGAAGATGGAGGTGAATGGAACCTCAGGGCTCCAGCCTAGCCCTGATGATGGGGGATCAAGCAGTATCAAAATTTAGGAAGTTCTTGCAAATTATAACAATGGCAGCAAATATAAGCAGTTTTCCTCAAGAAAATTAGGACATTTTTTAAGCTATTCTCCTATAGAGGAAGAACTATACATAAAAATGGTTACACTGGAATTATACATCAAGTAGTTATCAAGATGCGAAGCATTGATTCCATTTTAATAATGGCCCTCTCGGTTATTGGTGGCACTTTTCATGTAGTATCTTGACCAATGGACCATCTGTATACTTTCCTGGGGAATTAGGGTTGCCCATTCCCTCTTCTTCCACAGGCTTCTTGTTTCTTGGATTTACACTCTACTTTGTATGCACGTAGGGGTTTTCAGATTTTCAGTGTAGAAAAATCAATAATCTGATACAACAATGAAGCCCCAACAATAAACATGGTAGAACCAGTAGGTGTAAAGGAGACAGAGTTAAAAGGGTTACAGCACAGGACTGAGAGTGCCCAGTGCTGGATGAACATCTCTTTGGGACCCTGAAAGAAAACGATACGGGCTGGAGTGACAGATTCACCCTCGGCCTCGACGCCGGTCTGAAATACAGCGAGGGCCGTAGGCTTGACAGGCATCCATCTGCTTCCAGCTAGCAAACTTCTCAGGGCTTCCTTTTTGTTGCAGGAATGGAGCTCGGGGTCCACCCCGAGGGCTGTGTACCTGGACGATTTCCAAAGGGAAGCATCTCCCGAGTACAGAGTTCTCCGAAGAAGCCATCGGCATTCCTCCTAAAGCGACGGAGGAAGATCAGCCAAACTTGTGCTAAAGGCAGGGGTAAGTGCTGTGAATGAGCGTGAGGAAGGGGGTGCTACGTGGAGGCATCGTAGAAGATGGGGAGGCGGCTCTTTGAGCGTCCAGCAAGTCTCTGGATGCAAAGCAAGATAGCGTTTCCATTCCCAGAGCGCCTGTACTCCCTTCCTTCCTGGTAGAGCTCGCCCGCTGTCTAACAGGTTGTTGCAATCCGCAGAATGATATAGTATTCGCGGTGACACTGGCAAAGAGACATTTAAGGGAAGAGACGCCTGCCCATCTCAAATGTGAGAGAGAAGACTAACAATGTCGGTGCTAGGAGCCCTCCAGGGAAAGGCCCTTTCCCACTGGCCATGGTTAAAGGGCAGAACATGGGCGCGGTGTGGGGAGGGGAAGATAGGGAACAGTCCTGGGTAGGAGCACTGCCATTTGAAAAAACATTTCATGCAAGGATCAGCTTTCCTTCCTAGAAGTAAGCAAGCTTACCTGCAAATGAAGGTCACGTAGTTCATTAGGGCTTCCCTTCCCAACAAAGTGTAATATTAGAGACACTTTAGTGGGATATTAAATAATAGATACGTATGGGCCTAAGTCCTTCATGGGACGGATTGCCTTTAATGAGAGTCCCTGTTGGCATTCAGTGTTTGATCATATGTCTGATTAAAAAAACCCAGAAGCAGTGGATAAAATGCATAATAGATTATTTGATCTGTTGAAACAGTCAGGATAGCGCATGTTGCAAAGTCCCCTGGCTAAGACCACGGAGGCAGTGCTAGCTTAGAGGGGAAAACAATCTGATGTCAGTTTCTCTGAGCCAGGCTGAGCTTACGCATGTTTTGAATTGTTTGTTTTAGCTTTAGGGCGTTAGCAAACAAGCTTTAAAGTAGGATTATGTGCTACACCTAAGCTTGCTTCTACGATACGCAGTACGTGGATGTATCAAGGCAAATGTGGCATCCAGGCAGACAAAGGAAGATTTGTAGAAGAGCACAACGTTTTCTAGCCTGGAGAGTAAGCTGACATTCGGCGCTGCCAAGAGAAAATAGCGACTGTAGTTATTCAGGGAGCACAGTTGGAGGCAATGAAGCGTGTTGGGTGTGAAGCCAAGGGTTTGATTGCTGCTGCAATCAGGTGCAGATCAGCGTTCAAATCCACCAATGGGCTTCCAGGGCCTTTTGTCCTGCTCAGGCAGCGGCGGTTAGGAGGCAAGGCCAGCTGCCTGGGAGAAAAATTGCTCTTGGAAGCTGCTTCTGCCGGGCTGCCGGAGAAACAGGCCTCTGGTCTCCCTGTCAGTTAAGGAGCTGAGGGAACCATGGAGCACAGCCATTTCCACCGAGTCCCCCTCTGTGCCAAGCCAGCTAACCCTCTGCAGTTTCCTTTCTGTCTGGCAACGTTTGGTGAGTCTTCCACAGGGTGAGGTGCTGGGGGGAGTCAGTGGTTGCGGCAGAGGCCAGGAACCATTGCAGAGCCAACCTCTTTGCGACTTAGCCCCTATTTCAGGCCTGGGGTGAGGACTGTGTAGTCTGGCAAGAATGGAAGAAAGTAGTTGTATCTATCGCTAAATATTTTGCACAAGTAGGAGCTACTTAGGCCGTGCCAAGTGGGTGGCAAAGCCAAGTCATTCTCCACTGGTCAACTTTGCAATGGTCTCTCTTGTCTGCTCTAGGACAGCTGAAGCTCTCCATCCATATGCAAGGCAGAAACCTTAAACTTTATGGTAAGTAAATAAATTTGGGAGCCAATAAATTTGAGGGAAAGCCAATTATTTGTCAGAACCCATATCATACCAGGATTCTATTGTACACTGTATTGGTCTGCTAGGGTTAGGGATCCTTCTTTATTTTTTATGAAAATCTTGGGGTCTTGCCCTGAGCCTCTGTTGTGCCAAGTGAAGCGGTGATGGAGAAGCCAGCTGAAAAATAGTGGTTGAGGAGGTGGGCTAATTACTTGCTTGACCTCCCACCCCCATGAGCTAAACCCAGGGATGATACACACCTGTATACTTTTATAAAGTCATAAACCATTTTATTTATTCGGGCATTCTTGTGATATTCCTTGGTGCTTAGCAGTGATGACACAACTTGTGATTAGGCATTGTGATCTCCACGATAGCAACAGGAAAAATATATTGCTGCTCCTGTGACTCCTGGGTGGTTGTAGAACTGAGTCTGTGCTCTTCTGCTGTCAATTAACCCATTGCGCTTAGAAGTGCCAACACAACTTGCTGTTCCTTAAATCTGTAGGTAAAAAACGATTACATGTGGTATTGTATAAGGAGATACGAATTGCTCTGGTGGATCAGGCCATGGCACCACTTGCTCCCTGCAAGACAAGGAGCCCTTGATCGGTCTGTCCTCTGTTCAGTTGTCCTGCCCCCTCTGAGAGCCAGCTGAGGGAATGGTTGGCATCACATCGTGTGGGAATGAATTCCACGGGTTAATTGGGCGTTGTCTGAAGAAGTCTTCTTTTTGTCTCTCTAGATATTCTTCCAGTTAGGTTCATTAAATTGCTTACTTGTCATCCTCAGTGCTTACTGTCTCTTAAGGTGTTTTCAGCAGATTAGGTTTTTGGTTTAAAAAAAAACCAGATGCAGATTTGACTATATAAATGTAGTTTTTTCCAGGTCATAGCTCATGGGAGGGAAGGGGCAAGTGGTACCGCATCTGTCTGGCACAGATTTTAGTATCCTAAGTAGGAGGAAGTCATGCACAGCAAATGCGATTCAACTTTGGGACATTGGGGGAGTCCTTCGCTAAACTGAAAGCAAGGTCCAGGAATGCCCATAGTAGGGTGTGTTACGTACTGAAATAATGAACATTCTGCCCAAGAAAAGAGGAATCCTGGAACCCCTAGATACGACATCGGCTCTCCACAATCTGCGTGGGCATTCGTTTTGTGTAATTCTGCTTCTTGTGGAAAGTGGGCTGTCTGGCCCAACACAGTTATGCTTCTGATCTTGCTGGAGACCAAGGGGCCCTTCAGTTGCACTTTATTAGTTTTAAACCCGTGATGTATCTTCCAAGGCTGTGCAGTGCTTTGGACTCCATTTCTGCATGGCAGAAGGTACCATTATGCCCCAACTAGGAAACCCCGTCGGTGCTTTTTTTCTGTGGAAGATTCCTAATAAGCAACACTTAGTGCCCTGACAAAAGTACAGTGCTTCTTGTTTTCCTTTTTAGTATATCTGAAAATACAGCATTTTGGGGAAAACCATGGCACTGTTCAAAACAAACCCACTTTGTATCATAAACAGGTATATTCACTAAACATTTTCTTCTACCCTTGTGGCTCTAAGGAGCAGTTCAATAACAAGGACAGGCGAGATTCTAGATTTTATGATCCTGAATTTATGTCCTAGATGCGGACCTAAACCGTGCGCTTTTGGGAAGTGCAGTGGAATACATTAAGCTTCTGGTTTTTGCCCAAGCGCGTGTCAGACTTTAAGACGTTGGGCAGTGAGACCTGCATTCTAAAGGGGACGTGTGTGGCATCAGCGGAGCCCTGCGAATGCAGGGAACTGAGCAAGCGTGACGGGCAGAAAGTAGTGATATAGCGGTGTGCGTAGCAGCTAGTATAACTAAGTCAGCTTTTGAGGAGACCTTTCCTTTTGCTCTCAGTAAAATAACAATTCTTTCCATTCCTGTTCAAATGCAATTTCTTCTCTTTTCTTTCTCCACCCACTCAGTCATGGAAGCCAAAGGCCTGATGGGGAAGGAGTATCGGATTTGTGACTCCTTTGTCAAGGTATGCCTGTCGCCATCTAGAAAGATGCCTGTGTTGGGGGTTACTTGGTAGTAGTCTAATATCATTAAGGGGAGTAGGTGTGAAGTCTTTTCCTTCTTTTTCCCCTCTGAGCTCAGGACCTCCTCTAGATCCTCTAAACTGCTGACTGCACTGTCTGTAGAACTTTTTTTTTTCAGTCTGTGTATAGAAAGAAATGAAACTCTTTCTCTGCTTGCCAGCAGTGATTTGAGACCTGAGGGAGGTTCTGTCCCAAGGAGGACTGACAGCGTATTTTTTTCCCCTCTCCTAACAAAGGTGTCCGTTGTGCCAGATACATCTCGGAAGTGCAGGCAAAAGACCAAGACAGTTCTGGGGAGTAAAAACCCTATCTTCCACGAGCAGTTTATCTTGTGAGTATGGGGTGGGTTATCAGCTGCTGCCTCCCCACATCCCACAGCTTTTGGCCCTATGCATAGAGCTAGCTGGTGTGTCTCCCAGGGCATGTGCTTGCAGAAGCACCGGGCTCCCTCCCTGTAGAATTTTTTCATTCAGCTGCTTCTGAAGAGGACCGTGAGAATGCCCTTTCCCTAGTTCTCTCGACGGTGAAGAAGAGGATCCTAGCACAGTAGCATTCTGCAATAGCCAGAATACCTCAGGTGGCGGTTAAATCCAGAACCTGGGGGAGCATGTTCCCTTTTTTGAGATCTGTCTGAATTGCATCTCTTGGGTCTGGCCTGCTCTTCTTCATTTAAGAACGCCTTCCCTGGAACTTTATTTTTTTGAGGACATACAGATACGTTTGTAAGACTGTCTAAGGCGGAAAACCTCGATTTCTGCCGGCAGCAACAGAGCCTGAGAGAGCCTGGGCAGAACCCTCAATTATCAGGATACAGTCTTGGTGATTGCCAAGAGCTGAGGTTGCTTTCTCTCTGCTTACGTTCCAGCCGTTTGCAGGAGGAAGATGAGCGAAAGCGTCTCCTTGTCACAGCCTGGAACCGACCAAAGGATTCTAGGTAAAGATGGCTTGGTCAAGGTGATATCGCAGCGTGCAGCGTTGCAGCGTGGTCGCAGACACGCCGCATGGTGGGGCTGCGTAGCCTTGGTAGGGTCAGTACCGAAGATGAGCATCGGTAAGGCAGGAGGATGAGAGGGCAGAGCAGGGCAGCAGCGAGGTGAAGGAAAGAGGCGTCGCTGCTTCCCGGCGGAAGAGCTGCTCCTGCGGGCAACCCCCGCATCCCCCTCGGCTCCCTTCTGCACCGTCTCTTACTGTCCTTCTGTTTCCTGCCCAGGCAGAGCAGACTCATCGGCTGCATGAGTTTTGGCGTGAAGACCCTGCTGGGTCCAGACAAGGTACGGACGGTGCCTTGGGTTGAGAGTGGGGGGACCAGCTATGGCGGTTGCCTTGTGGAGAAAGGAACGGTTGGGGGTGGCCCAAAGCAATGGGTAGATACACCGAGGGTGGTTATTCTGGCTACTGCCCTGAGTGACTTTGTACTGGATCTGCCAGAAATGCTCAGTAGGGACTTATTTTTCAGAGTGCTTCACATTTATCATGGGGGGGGGGGGGCTGGATACAATCCTGCATACTATGATCCCCCTTTGATGGGCGAAAACGTGGGGGTGGGGTTCGTCTAAGGGTTGCGTACCTTCCTAGTGGGCTGGATTTGAGTTATGATCCCTTGCAACGTCTGGAAGATAACGTTCCTGTAGTAAAAATGGAGTCAGTAACTTAAAACGCCAACTTGTAAAATGCCATTAAGCTGAAGGAAGCTGTATTCTCCTCTAAAATTCTTAAAGCTAACAGCAGTCTTAGCTCAGATAATTTTTAGAAAAGCTTCTAGATAGAGATCTTCAGATAAGCAAATGGGATTTGTTGGAGGGACTCTCATTTTCTTCCTTGTTCATTCACAATATAATTACTGTATAGTTGGAGAAAATGGGGTTGGTAAGCATCTCCTCTGCCCTCTGCTGTCTGTTTTGAAAGCAGAGCCTATAAAATGTATAGCAGGATGTGTAGCAAAATGGGTAGAATTTCAGTTCTCAGTGGCTAGAATCCTCTAGTCTCTGCAGGCACGGCATCTTTCATGGGGATTTTTTAGTAGCATATTAACAGCAAACAGGAGGAAGTGTGTAAACTGCTGTCTTTGTTCTTTCCTGTTATGCCTTCAGAAGATTTGCGGCTGGTATTACTTACTGGGAGAAGATCTGGGCAGGACAAAGCACCTGAAGGTGGGCGCACGGCGGCTAAAGCAAGGCCAAGGTGGGTCTGTCCAGGAGAGAGGATTTTGAGAGCTCTCTTCTGTCTTTGGCCCATCCTGCGCTGAGCTGATCTCTTCTGTCCAGGCAGGGTAGACAAAATACAGGAAAAGGCTTCCTGGTGGGTGAGGAATTTAAGCCTCTGGTGCTCTTGCATGGAAAGCAGCCACCCTTACGTGGGTTGGATCTTTTCGGAACGCCCCCTGCCTTCCCATCAGGTAGCTCAGGGGCAACAACGTGTTTACAATGGGCAACAACGGGAGCCCCTGGAATCTTTGACTTACAGCATTGCCGTTGATTAGGCTGCGTATAGGGAAGAGGAGTGTTCTTTTCTGCCAGATAACGCCAATGCGTATTCCTGTATGGGCCTGGGCAAGCTTTAAGAACGTGCTCTGCTGCACTTCCCACCTTTTCAAGAGGTTAGGGAAAGGAGACACAGGAGGGAGAGAGCTGCTGTTGGTGGCACCTACAACCTGAAATGTTGCTTTGTTCTGTTGGGCCTTTCCCCTGTTTAAAGATGGAAATCAGAAGACTTAGGCCAAAAAAAAAAAAAAGCAACAGCAAAATATTACAGTAAATGACACGTGGATCAACTGATGAATAGTTGCATAAAATGTAAATCCACTGATTTTAATAGTATAACCATTTTAGTATTATTGTTTAGTCCTTTGCAGTATTTTTGCTTCATTCTTCTGGCTTTTATTATATTGGATGCTTTTAGATTTGTAAGCTGTGAACAGTTGTATGATCGATGGGCAGCAGCAGGACCAAGAGAAGGCTGTAGTGTACCCCTCCGCATTGGGAGGACGGGACACAATGGGCCGCCCTGCTGCCAAAGGCCGAGGGACCCGTCCTTCCTTCCTTCCTCCCTTCCTCCCTTCCCTTTCTCTTTTTTACCAGAGCTGACACTAGCCGAGCCGGGTGCGTTACTAAGGAAGCAGCAGCGGCAGCAGCAGGAAGAGGACACGGAGCAGGTCAAGGTGTGTGCAAGCCAGCCGGGGGAGCTGAGCTGAGTGCCATTCTAGCTAATGGGCACCAGACCCTTTCTTTAATTCAGCTAAAGAAAGTGAGTGCCTGGAAGGCATTTCCATTCATCCAGGAGGGCTGAGGAAGGAAGGGATAAACAGGAAGGAGGCTCATTTTCTGGGACAAGGCACTAGAAGTGATGGAGCTGCCCAACTGGAAACACTGGTACTTTCAATGTGTCAGAGGGATTTGGAGGGAACCCTCAGCCTCTGCTGGGCAAGTGGTCGGAGGGCCACTGGTCGTCATGCTCCTGCAGAATAAACTCCCCCCCCCCGCTTTCCCTTCTGTTGGTTGGGGTGCCCAGACTTATGTTGGAATGGAGAAGGAAGGAGCAGCTCTGGAAGCTATAAACTGTTCTTGTATCACCACCCATCCCAGTTTTATAGAAGAATCCCCCCAAAGACTCTGCCTTCATCAGCCTGCGTAACAGTGGCAGGCCGTTGAGCTTTAATTTCCAGACTAAAGAAGGGTAGCCCTGGTGGAGGTCTTCCTTACTATCAAGCAGCCATGAAAAGAGAGAAATGCCTGTTTCCCTCTCTGCCCCACCCAAAGAAAGGAACCTTGAAGTCAGCACTGATGGGATAAGGTGTGTTAATAGACCTTCACATTTTTATTATACAATGCTCATGAGAGGCAGAGAGGAGTTTGTGTGAAATTGTGTGCCTTGATTATTTACAGTCCTTTTCCTTCCTCGCGAATGTGAAAGTGTGCCCCCCCCCTTTTCCTAATGGAAGAGGCAGTGCTGGGAAAGGTCTGCTGGTGCCTTCTCCAAGTGCTTGTCTGTGGCGGGGACGGAACAAGGGCTGCCTCCCAAATGCGCTGACAGGAATTTTACTCTGAACTCTCTCTCCTTCCTTCTCCCTCCGAGTGCTCAGGAAACCTCTGGGCTTATCACAAAGCTGCACATGGCCGCAGCAGCCTGGGAGGTGAGGGGTGGCTTCCTGTCATTCTTCTGCGAGCTCCTGAGTTCCCAGGGCAGCCATGTGGGACCACAGAGGCTGGCTTTTGGCTGCCCCGCTGCCAGGAGGCAGGGGAGTCTCTCTCCTCCTCTCGCTCGCCAGGGAGAGTGGGAAATCTCTGCGCCTTTATGGGCTAGCCCTGAGGCTTCGGACATGAGCCATTTCAACGGACTGTGCAGAGTGTGTTCGGAGCGGCGCTACCAGCAGGTCGGTTGCAGCTGGCACGAGGCCCCCTTCTCTGGCACGCTTGCTTTCTCTGGGGTGATGGGCTCTGCAGATGGGAGGGTTCTGCTGAGGCTGAAGCGTCCTGTGGAGCTTCTCTGAGGGAGCTGAACGGTCTGCTGGCCGCGAGAGGCAACCTAGGCTCCTGGCGGGAAACCCGCACGATCTGGTTTCCCTTTGACCCGTAGCAGGAGAGTTCCCACACGGCTGTGAGGTGGGAGAGGTCGGTTGTCCTTGCTGAAAAAGAGCATCTTGCCTGCGATTCGGAAGTAAGAAGCTCGCTTCTGATTTCCGCGAGGCCGAGGCCAAGCCAGGCTGCATCGGAATGCAGTCTGCGGCTGAGTGTCCGGCAGACGGATGAGTTAGACAGCCTTCTGCTGCTGGGCTGGCTCGGTAAAGGTGGTGTATGCGCTTAGGTAGACCCGCAAATACACAAACGTGTCAGTTCCTCTGAGGACTCACTCAGAACCAGTTCTCGTTCTGTGCCTTGTCTCCAAAGCTCCTCTCTTTGTCCCCAGGGGAGGCAGGAGGTCTGTTACTTCCCTGGAGGTGCCTCATTCCCTCGTTCCTCCATTTTCTCAAGAGCTGGCCTTAATGACAAGGTTTCTTGGAACGTCCCTCTGCTAGTATGGCTAGACAGCTTGCCGTCTGGATGCTCTTGGGGGGACAGGGAGCTCTCTGTGTGTGGATACGGGCATGTTGGTGCAGCCTTAGGCAGGGGCTGATCTGCTTCCTCTTCTGACGGCTTATGTTCTGTGACTATCGAGCGGGAGGTTTATCAGAAGGAAGAGTTGCTACTGTTTATGCAGAATTTCTGCTCGAAAAGAGTAGCAATCTTTCTGTGGTCTTGGCGTGAGGGGCATTCAAGCCGTTGGCTTTTCAAGGCCTAAAGAAAGAGCTTGATACCAGAGATTGGCTGCATGCTTACTGCACACAGTTCATCCTCCTTAGCTCTGGAGATGAGGAGTCTCAAACATCCAGAGAGGAAAAGAGATACAGCGCACAGTACAATCCTGTACATGTCTAAATAAAATCTGTTGTGTTCAGCGGGGCTTCCTTTCAGGTAAGTGCACAGGATTGCCACATTCATCCAGCTGCAAGCTTCCAGCTGTTCAGAGTTCACTGGCTGTATTTACACAGGTCAATATCCTCCTAATACGTGCCTTAAGTGAAAATAAGTAACTTGAATCTGTCATGCTTCCACCCTACCTTTAGCTGGTCCATGAAAGCTACGGGTAGGAAAGTGGGAGGCGGAGCCTTGCTTGTTTCTGAAGGTGGCCCTTGGACCGTCGCTTCCTTAGAAGAGACCTTCCTGGAAGCACCATGGGGATCCTCCTCCAGACTGCCTTTCTCGGAAACCGGAAGGGCAGTTCTTTCCCTTTTGCTGGTCAAACAGGAAGCCCGATGGATGTCTCTGGAGTTGGGAGGATTTCACATGGAACATGCCCCTGAGTTCGTTCTGTGTGAAAATAAAAGTGCCTCATGGTTTGTTTGATGGAGAGCCGTACAGCGTTTCTTCTGTTCCTGTTGGCAACCTGAGCAAACTCTCTGATTTCTCTATTAAATTAAAATTTACATCCCTTTTTCTAATAGAAGATAGCTATCAACAAAATAGGAATCTACTTCATAAATGCTTGATAATTTTATCTTTAATTTTTTTTATCAGTTTGCCTAGCATGGGTGAAGGTATCTAGGCTCTAATTATTTGTCCAGCAGATTCCTTTTTAAAAAAATTGCGTTACCTTCATGGCCTACCATTGTCCTTTGGTAATAATTTTAAAGAATGTGTTACATATTTTTGTTAGAAGTTCAACAATATCATATTTAAGTCCTTTGAATGAACACCCTCTGGTCCGAGTAATTTCGTTGTTTTCGACTGTTCTGTGAGGTTTAGAAATAATGCTTATTTTAATATATTAATATTATTTTCAGTTTTAAAAAGTTACAATTAACATTCTTAAAAGGCATTACATATTAATATGTAATGGCCTACGTAAACTGTAAGTGTATATTATTTTTGTAGAAAAGACAGTATACTTCAGAAAAAAAAGCCCTAACCTATTCAGAAATAAACAGTATGCTTACAAACAGAAAAAAATATCCTGTACTACACTAAACTCCCTAAAAAAATTTTTTAAAAAAGGAGGGAGAACAAAAACCTAAAAAGGATTAAAAAAGCATTGAAAAAAATAACAACTGAATACCTAAACAAAACTTACAAAAACAGGAAAAAAAGGAAAAGAAAGATCATTAATAAAAATGTCAAGCTACTCAAATACTGAAATTATACTACATTTTTGAATTTTCATTGTTGTGATTCAGTTTTTAAACAGTGAATTCAACCTTGACCACACATAATCATATAGTCTGGCCTTGCTTCTCTAATTCAAGGCTAAGAAGTGACTCATTTTATTAAGCCAATTTAGGGGGTTGCATATGAGGGCTCTTGCAGGTGAGCATAACAACTTTTTTTTTGTCCAGTCCAGGCTCAGTATGTCTGATGTTCTTCATAGATTGAGAGATTCCCAGTTTGGGGAATATAATTTAACAAAGCATTGTCATTTTTGGCACAACTGGCTTCCAAACACCTGGTTTGCTGTAGTAGTAATATCTAACCATTTCCAGAACTTGCGTAGAAAAGTTCCTTCTGATTTACTGCAGCTCTAGCATAGGAAGGATGCCAGCTAACCACATTAAGTGTTCTTTGAGGATCCTTTATTGTGTCAATGCAAATTTTTTCTTAGAGTTAGGGACTTTATAGGATTGATTTAATACTGAGGCTCATCGTCCACATTCAACCCACAGAAAATCACGGGTTGAATGTGTTGACCGTTCAAGGTAATTTGTCCCTGGAGCCCATTGTTTGGCCCAGAGGGAGGCCTTCTGCACTCGTGCGGGTTTGGTTCGGTGGAAGTATTGTGGTCTGGCCGTGGTTCCACCTCCCTTGGGGAAGTCTGGAACACCTGTGGGGCTCCTTACTGAACCCTTTTTCCCTTACCGATACGTAGTTAGCAGTTTTGATAGCTCATATGTTTGGATTCTTTAAGCATGTGTAAATCTGCTATTTGGTTTCAGATTACAATCCCACGTGGGAAGAATGGGTTCGGTTTCACCATCTGCTGTGATTCCCCTGTCCGGGTCCAAGCTGTTGATTCTGGTAAGGATAAGTTGACTTAGTCTGCAGTGGAGACCGGTTCTGTCTGCCTTTGCTTCCTCCTGCTTTAATTCCTCTCAATTCCTGGCATGTGCCCTCTAGTAAAGGGACTTGAACTTACGTTTTTTACTTTTATTTTATTTGATTTTTGATGCTGCCCAACTCTAACTGGCTCTGGGTGCTCACAAAGTAAAAAGCAGCACAAAAACACCAAATAGATAAGAATATAATAAAAAAATTAACCCACAAAGGACTACAGAATAGTCATAAGACAGCAGTCCAGACAACACATAGATCTGAAATGGGGCCCCATCCACCTTACCCCGAGGCCTGGGAGAAAAGCCAGGTTTTCAAGGCCTTCTGGATCTCAGGAGCGACCTCATTCCAGGATGTGTGCTTCCCGGGTCTTGCTAGATGACCCTGTTTGATCGAGGGGACCTGGAGCACAACCTCTCTGTCAGATCGTACCGGCTGGGCAGAAACCGGGAGAGAGAGGTCATCCCTCAGATGACCAGGCCTGTGCCCTGCCTGTAACCTATATCAATTTTTTAACTATATTATGGTCAAACTGTGGCAAAGTGTTGCCCTTAATGGAAGAGAGCTCTCCAAGGAGACACAGATTCAGAACTAGCTAAATTCCACAGCCGTGTCGTAGAGGATGATGTGTGATTGCTCCTCAAGAACAGCAAGTTTCCTTTTCCGCACCTTCTGATCTTGCGAGGAGGCGGCCGTGGCGCTTAGCTCCCTCTCCTTCCCTTCCAGGTGGCCCAGCAGAGAAGGCTGGCTTGCAGGAGCTGGATGCAGTCCTTCGGCTCAATCAGCAGCCTGTGGAAGACTGGAAATGCGTGGAATTGGCCCATGAGATTCGGTGACTGTGAACCGTGTGTGGAAGAGGGATGACAGGGACGAAGCGCCCCCAAGGCTGTTTGGTGGGGGGGTTAGGGTTGTTTTATATTGCTGTCATCTGTGCACTTTCCCACATTGACTGCTTCAGGTGGTTAATTCAGAAAAGAGTGGGGATAGTAACCTCAACCCATCAGTGATAACACTGTCCTCACTTTTAGGAACTGTCCCCAGGAAATCATCCTGCTGGTTTGGCGCATTGTCCCGCAGGCCAAGCCCAGCCTACAAGGGGTCATCCACCGTCCCTCCTGCAAATCAGCGTATGATTTGCAGTCCCCACCCGCCAGGCGGGAGAAGAGCAGCATAGGGAGATCCCGGCCCCCCGAGCATCGGCAGAGCTGCCACGTGTTGTACGATGGGAACGATGGGTTCGCGCTCAACGGCTGGGAGCGATACACTGAGCTTGGGAAGGCTCCCCGGCAGCACACCATGCCTCCGCCTTCCCGACCTTCCTCCGGTGGTACAGACAAGAACTACATCATCCTTGCCCCACTTAATCCAGGAGGCCAGGTATGGGCATTTTGAAGTTGGCTTGCTTGCCAGTGGGCCCCAGCAGTTTTTCTGCACATGGTAGAAAGGTTTCTTCCACATGCTGGCGCCTACAGAAAAGAGAGAATAGTTGGAATTCAGCTGACTCTAAGAGACATGTTTATCCTTTTGACTGCCCAGCGTATATCAGAATGAGAGCCCTGTCTAAGGAAAAGTTCAGCAGATGATTAAAGCTGTTTCTGGAAAGACCCAGTTCAGACTTCAGGCGACTGAACGTTCTCCGGTGCGATAGCAGGCAGAAAACTAGATGTGGGGGCAAAAATCCAGCTAAATCTCCCTGACCTGCTAGGTGTAGAAGGCAATTATTCTGTTTCATAACCCTGATGAAAGCAAAGGACAGAAGAGGGGATACACCTGGCTCTGTGCTTTGTGTCTTTCAGCTTCTGAGGCGAGTCTACCAGGAGAACAAAGCTCCTGAAGGTAAGTAGCTTTCTCTGTTCCTGCTTCTTGATGTTTGTCCCTTCATGGACAGGCCAGAGGGAGGTAGAAGGGGTCAGGGAAGTATAAAAAGTGTGCTTAATGGTTCTTTGTTATTATTGGTGTGCTATGCTGTAAATATGAAACAGTGTTTTGTACAGAAAGCATGAACCTTGCAGCTTGTTTGTTTTTGTATGATTAATATGTTTTTATTCCACCTTTCTTTTAAAACATTTACAGTAACATACATGGCTGTCTTTCCCCATTTTTTTCCTGATAACCACCTTGTGAGGCAGTCTAGGATGAGAGTGGGAATGACAGTACTGGGGTCACCTAGTGAACTTCATGGCTGACTGGGAATTTGAACCCGAAGAGAAGGTCTACTCCGGGCAGGTTGAACATACCTGGAGAGGCAGGACAGCGAGAGGGCATCTGAGACAAAGCTGATGCAGATTAGCTGAGCGTGCCTGAATGTCTAAGATTGAATTGTGGGTTCTGAGTTGGGCACGTCCGGTTTGGATTTGGCCTTGCAGTTTGCCCTGACTGTGGTCCTTGAGCCCAGCAGCAACAGCGAGTGGGAAGAGTCGCACGAATGGCTCATCAGCACTAGTCTGGGTTACCACAGGGACATTGGTCGGAAGTGCCTTTGAGCGCTCGGAGGTGCAAAGAGCTGCTCTGCCACTGGTCAAGGGAGCCTTTGGGTCACAGCTGCTGCCACCTCCGCACCAGAAACAGCAAGCAGTAGCTTGTTTCAAGGTGGTATTTCTCCAGGGGCAAGTGAGCTCTTCCTGACAACTTCATGAATAGACCAGCCCTGTTGACTCTGGAGCCTCCTTATCTGTTTCCCCAGCCATGTTTTCAGTTTGGGAGAGAAATGCTCTGGCTGTCTGCTCCAGTTCCAAGGCAGAAAGCTTGCCCACTCCCCGTGGCACATTCTGGTGCCTTGACTTGAATTTTCTGTGCAGCCGTGCTGGCAGAGAGGCTGAATGCTTTCATGGGAAAGATGCGGCTTCAGTCCTGCAGTTACTCAGTTGTCTTTCTAAAAAGGAATGTTTGCTTCTCTTCCATTTTAAAATTTCTTTATTAGATTTATATCCCACCTTTTCCCCCTTTCAACCCTGTGAACCAGATAAGACAGAGAGCGAGCACTTTCTGGTTCGGAGATGAATACGGATCTGAACGTGGTTCTTCTTGTTTTAACTTTTTCCCACCACACTGGCTTTCTGTAAGCCTTCATATACTCGGAGGCCTTCAGCTGAGGAAGGTCATGCGTTGCCCTGTGTGGCTTAAGTACCAGATGTCAGACAGACCAAAGCCGAGGTTGGTGGATGTTAGTGCAGACAGCTGCTGATGCAAGGCTGGTACTTTCTGTTGCAGTTCCTTGAGACAAAAAGGGGGGAGACTTTTATAACTTAGTGCCATATGAGACTCCTAGAACGCAGCCTTTAACCTCAGCTGTCATAATCCCATTCTTGTCTGTACTGGCGAATTGATTGAAGGGGAGGAAGTAGAAATATACGTTATTCTAGAAGAGCTTAAACCAAAATCAGACTATAAATCTGCCTAGTCTGATGCTCTCAGAGTGGACCAGCACAGTACCTCTTGTACTGTGTATAGGTGAAGATTTATTTATTTGCTCGTTTGTTTTTCACATTTGGTCACCGCCCATCTCACTAGGAAGTTGCTGGAAGTTGCCAATGATCTTTGGCAGGCAGAACAGGCATTCTCTCTTAGTCCTGTGTCCCGACAAGTTGGTTCACGGGCTCCATAGCTCAATGTTGTCCAGTCTCTCGGGGTATAGCTTCTCCAGGCTTGGCCAGTGGTGGCCCAGAGGAATGGCAACTTTATCAGCCCCTGTTGCTCACACCTTCTTGCTCCTGAAAGAAGGAAAGGGATAAAAGCGATGTTATTTGCACTCTCATTCTGTCACAGCGAGCATGAAAACAGCGAGCAGTGGAAACAGTGCCAACCAGGCAATGTTGTTTTGCAGCTTCTCTGAGGCAAGAATGTCTGTGTTGGGAATCTGCTATAATGACTAGCCAACCATCAGCAGGATTGACTCAACATTTCCATTAGGCCCATTTCCTATACTGTAGACTCTTGGAAAAATCTCGTGCTGCAGCCATGCAAAGGGGTAAATAAATACCTCCTTGATAAACGTGCACAAAGTTACTTATTAAATATATCACAGTCTGTTTTGCAAATTTCTTGTGTGCTTGCTAACGCAGCCCAAGTGCTCTGATTTTGTATCTTACTGGCTTATGGGCTAGCCGATTCAAAGAACTGTTGCTTCTTTATCCTTGAGAACCTTTGTCCGTAGCAGGGCCTAATGTAAACATGCTCCTATGACAGGGAGACTCGCTTCTGAGTCGGTGGATGTAGGATTGTTGTGTGGGCATCATTTTTCCACTCCATGTTAAGGCAGTTGTAGTGGGTAGAGTGCCATCCTGATCCTTCATTTCTTCTCAGTGTTTTATTTTCCTTAATATCCGACCTGAAGAAGAATGCTGATGTCTCTGTGACACCTAGGGCCAAACTGAACTGACATGGGCTGGACCTTCTGGTGTATTTTACTTTATAAAATGCCACACAGGATATTATGTTATCTGCTGAACTCGTAATTCTGGTTGCATTCCGGTATCCTATTGAGACTGGACTTTATACAGAACTCTGGTGGGCGTAAGAACAGAGGTCCAACAGAATCCCCCCCCCCCCTTGTTCCTTACATCCAGGTAACGTGTGCAAAGGAGAATCTCATGGCAAGAAATCTCGGCTCATGAAGACAGTGCAGACCATAAAAAGCCATGGAAGCAGCCCCCAGAGCTGCCCTCTGCTGGGGCCCCACATCCCGCACTCCAGTTATGGCACGTACGTGACGCTTGCTCCCAAAGTGCTGGTCTTCCCCATCTTTGTGCAGGTGAGACTCAGAAGGGCCCATGCCGGGAAGATACTTTTTCTCTGAGTTGAGCATTTCCCACCTGCCATCAGTTAGTGTTTTGATCCTGCCACCCTTCTAAATGTATGATTTAGAGTCCAGGTTGCATACAAAATCCTTTTGCCTGAAGGCCACTAGATGTAGACAGCCACCTCCTCTCCTATTGCAAAGCTATATGTATAATTTGTAATTGTTTTAATGATTTTAATTATTAAAATTGCTAGCCACCCAGAGTCACTTGGATTGAGATGGGCGGCTATAGAAACTGCACAAACAAATAAATAAATAAATAATATCTTTCGGGAAGCCCTAGGAGCAAGGATTGTGGTACTTCAGGTCATTGGAAAGACAGTGCAGGAAGCATTACCAAGGAGGAGGGGCAGGGCAGGGCAGGGCAGGGGAGGGCAGGGCAGGGAAGGGCAGGGCAAGTGACAGCTCATCCTGTCAAGCAAACTCTTTCCCCTAATGGCCCCCTGCATGCCCCAGGAAACTTACCAGCAAGGCCGTGAAAGCAGGATTCTTTTCCTTGTTGCTGATTTTTAACTTGTCTTCATTCCCTAATGTGAACTGTTACAAGAACTTCGTTGTCGAGCAACACTGCAAAAAAAGCAATGAATAGACCTCGCCCTAGTGCACCCTCTGGCAGCTGGTCTTCAGTGGCATCCAGATTCTGGATGTACCGTATAATTACTGTGGTTAACGCCAGTTGATTGGGACTCTTTGGCAAAGCAGCAGACTTTGTGCAGGGGAGTAGAAACAGCCAGGGAGAGCAAGGTGAGAGTTAAGCACTGAAGAGAAACACTGTGGCAGAAGGTAGCTGGGAAAATTTAATAGGAGGATGTAAAGGCAGGGCAACAAGTATTGCCTCTGCGAATGGAAGCTACTCCTCAGAGGCCCTGCCTCGTTCAGAAACATTTGGGGAAGAGGCTGGACTCACGTTCCATTCCCGTCCTTGTCAGTTTAGTTTCAGTTTAGCTACACCGAGCAGCTGCCTCCGCCACCTGGGCATTCAGGTTGGTCTTGGTGGAGCTACAGCACTGGGAAGGAAGGGGGTGTTGGGGTCGCTGGGCAGATGGTGTTTCCGGGTCTCAGACAGAGATGCCCGGGGGGCAGGAAGACTCCTGCGTGTAAGCTCTTTGCCTCCCTTCTCCTGCACCTGCCACCTTGACGACATTTTCTGTTCAACCAGGATTGATTTAAACTGCTCTTTGGACTCAACTTGTCCTGAAGATTTTGCCGAAGAGCGAAACGATGATCACATCTCCAAACAGTGAATTTTTTTAATAGTTTTTGTGTGACCCTGCCAGCAATCCCACTTGTTTTGTTTTTGATTTCCTGGACTCTGGACTTTCCATTGGTTATCAGGGGCTTGCAGCTGTCAGGCAAGAAATTGATGGAGCCCTCCAGAGAGTTTTCTCATCGTCAGTCTCTGAGCTGTGTATCTGTGTGTGTTTCTCTTACCCCATTAGCCTCTGGACCTTTGCAGCCCAGCCCGGACGCTGCTTTTATCAGAAGAGCTGCTTCTTCATGAGACTCGAAACAAACCAACTCAGGTAAGCATCCAGGCACATCCCAGGGAATGATATTTATTATTACTGACTCTCTGACGGGGAAGAAGAGTCCACTGCTAGCTCTCTGAGCTGCCGTAGTCACAGAGGGCCACAAGGTGCTTCCTCCCAGGGCTCAGGATTGTTGGGGCACACTTGTGACTTATTCAGACAAACAAAGTCACTATGTTAAGATGGAGGGGGGCGACAGAGAAATCATTTAAGTAATTTATCCAAATAATTTATAAATAAATATTTATTTATTTAAATAAATATAGAAAGGGAGCAGTTGGGCCCTCTTCTTTCTGCTTTGTGCCCGGTTCCTCTTGAAAAGCAGACCCATCAGAGGCATTTCCTGGCCGTGGAGACTAAACTTAGGGATGGTACCCTTCTAAACTCCCCGAGAGCCCTGGCTCAGGGACAGACAATATCAGGGAACGACCTGCTGCTAAACAGCACTGCTCTTTTTGTAGAAGAAATCCCGGTTCTGCTCCTGTGCCGTGCAGGCCTGGCCTTTCTTTGGAAGTGCTATTTCTCCTTTCTCAAATGGCCTGTTTGGGTCAGTTATGTTCTGGAGCTGCTCTGCAAGTTCAGGGGCTCCTGCTAAAATTTTCCTTTTGAAGCCCCGCATGTTCAACAGTAAATATTAGTGTGGTGGACCCTCCTCATTTCTATAGAGCTTGCAGTTTTAACACCTTTGCTTTTGAACACGCACACATTGCTGCATGGGTGGATGGTTTCTGCTGTCAGCTGATGGATGAGAGTCCTTGTTTTGAATGTGCAGTTTTCGTTTTGACTTGCCAATTAGTGTGTTGAGATGCTGTTTGTATTACCTCCTGCACGTTGTTGTGGCAAGATGTGCATTGACTCAGTTGGGACTTGCTTCTCAGTGGACATGCATCAGACTGCGCTGCAAGTGTGTCTTGATCAGAAGTCAGCTCTTTTTTTTTCAAGCTGTATGTGACCTTTGGAGGCAGGAATGAATGAGGATCTATTTGTTCACTAGCCCGTTTTGCCTTAAGGCCACTGACTGCTGCCTCAATTTGTAACCAACCTGTAGAGTCTAGCATGCCATTTTCTTGGAGAGAAGACCCAAATATGCACACTGTCTCCACCTGCAAACGGGATAAGTTCCAGAAGAGGCTGTACTGCGACATGTTTCAGCCCATTAAATAGATCTTAAGGCCTGGGGTGAGGGAACATGTCCAGATGTCCCAAAGAGTTCCTGAATGAAACTAAACCTGAATTAAACAATGTGGCTTTAGGGTCTGGAATAGCAAAATTCCTTCTTTAGAGCTCTGCTTGTTTTTAAGAGCCTGTCTGGACACTTTTCCCCATTCACCTCCAATAATGGCTTGTTGTTATTTCTTGGCTAGTATTTCCAAAACAAAAATGGTGGATCTTTTGCTGTTACTGTAATTCCTGAATTTGGCTGGGATGTGCTTTGCAAGTTCCAAGTTTGTCAAGTGTGGTGGTCTTAGAGACTGATTTTGTTGCATTGTGTGTTGTAGGGAAGCTGCTTCCAGAATTTTGCTCAGAATTGTGATAACATAGTATTTTTTTCACTAGAAGAGGAAGAGAAGGGGAAGGGGCAGTTGGCTGTGCAACGTGCGGCGCTCTGCCAGAAATGTCCATTCCCTGAATCATATACTAGTTTCAATCACATCCTGTCTAGACTTGATTTTTGTTCCCACAGTCATAATCTTTGAAACTCTGAGAGACCTGGGAAGTTTTTGGAGCAGTGTTGCAAGAGGAGTTTTAGGCCCATAAAATTGAACTCCAAAATGAGATGCAAGGGCTGACTCTAGAAGCTCTCTGCAGGTGAATGCAAGTCCCTGTCAGGGCACAGCAGCCTGTGGACAAAGAGCTAAAGAGATTTGAAATTACTGCTGTATATCCAGAAACAGAGGCATGAACAGAGCACCAGAATGCCTCGCTGGGTCAGAGTGAAGTAGCCTGCTTTCCCCACTGGCTAAGAAGTGGCTTCTGGAAACCCACAATCAACGCAGCTCTTCCCCCTTCGTATGTCCACAGTACCTGTGCCTGTGGCCCAGAGATGGTCTTCAAACATGCAGACTCTGACAATTCCATTCCTAACTCTCCAGCTAATAACAGCATGCAAACGGCACCTGCAGCAAAACACTGAAGTGTGCCGTTATCCTGGTTAGTGTTCCAGCCAGCTTGCCTCCTGTGGCTCCACAGTTCTCCCATTAGATTGTTTCTCTCCCTTAGTCTTCTATTCCATTAGCCCCCAGAGGGCAGCACTGCATGCCACTGCCCACAGAGTTGGCATTGGGTTGTTCAGGGATTTTTCTACTTCTGCAGACCTTAGAGCTTCCTGAACAGGCTGATAACCTTCCTCTTGTTCATGGGTGGTGACACTTGGAGAACTTAGTTTGCTATTTTATTGAATCAAGTCTGGCTGGCCTTTGGGGCCCTGATATTTAGGATGGTGGTAAGACTTGCCTTTAGACTGGATCCTTAGAGTTTTTTGCTTTCTTACAACCTGCTCTAAAAAGTTTTTTGTAAATCTCTTAATCAAATTCTGCCAGAGTTTCAAAAGATTGTAATGCACTGTTGATTTACAATTGGTTTTAAAGTTTTGTTTTCTTTCTTTTTTAATAAACCTTTACAAGAATAACTTTGCCTAACTCAGAGGTAGGTAACAGATGCCTTAAGGATTTCAACTCCTGTCAGGCTGACTCAAGAAAGAAAAGGGTAGTGACACCTGCAGGACGCCTGAAATGGATTTCAGCTCCCAGAACTCCCCAGCAGCAGGGCCTCCATTGAGATTCTGAGCGTTGAAGTCCACTATCTGGAACTGGCCGTGGCTGGAAACAGTTATGCAGGCAAAACAAAGGCTCGCACCCTATGTCAGGGAAACATCTTGGCAGGGGATTTAGGGCAGACAAAACCAAGCTGACTTGGTTATGGAAACTGCAGCCACAACATTTAATATTAACCTTTAACTAAACAAGCTGTAGAAGGGAATTAGCCCAGTTCCTGAACCAAGAAGAGCAGGATGGATAACTGGCATCTGGTTACAGATTAGCATGGATGAACACTTGATATACTAAACCAAATGTAATAAATTGCAGAAAGAGTTATTAATTTGCTTCGTGGTGTGGTTCTTGAGCTCTGTGAGACTCTTTTCTTTTTCCTCCTGCCTTGTCCAGGTGATTCTCTTTGTTTATTCAGACTTACTGCTGTTCACCCAGGAAGATGAGCCTGGACGATGTAATGTCTTTCGCAACCCCCTTTACCTGCAGGATGTTCGGCTGCAAGAGGGTGAGTCCAGAGCTCTTATGAAAGAATTGCACCTTTTGGTAATGGGCCAGTCCGCCCTCTGGACCAGAGGGATGCCCGTCCTTGGGCCAGCAGGAGGCGATAGGTCTTCATTGTCAGCAGCTGGTATTGAAGGCCTATGCTCGGGGAAGCTCTCTTAACGGTCTGCATTTACTGCTTGCAGCCTGCCTTTCCTTTGTCCCTGGAGCTGAAGGCAGACAAGGCTTTTTCTCCTGTTCTCCACTCTGTCGTATTGTTTCAGTACTCCTGAGTGATTTGAACCCCAAAGATGGAAAGCTGTGACTGCATAAAGCCATGTGATTCTGACTAAGGAGGGACTTGCCCTCCTCTCTGAATCCAGCCAGTCCTTTTAATGAAAGTCGTTTAAATGGCAATGGCACGTTCTCTGGTGATGATTTTCAAAGGTTTATTACCTGTTAAGTGAGGAGATGGCACGAGGGAAGGGAAAATGTTCTGTATCCCCACTCTCTCAAGTCACACATTGCAGCTCTTCCTTGGGCATCATTTTTCTAAACTAGATGCATAAAATGCTTAAGGGCCCAAATGCTGCCTGGCAGCCAGAACTTCCTGCCTTTCCCTGAAGATGGTCAGGCTCAACAGTAATTTTGGCATTATTTATTAATTCATCTTGCAGTAAGAACCTGGCACCAGCTGTCACCAAGAGCGTCTACTTGGCTTGTGGAATTAGTCCTAGCAGCACCAGGCCAGGAGGAGTGGGAGAGGAGACCCTTTTGGTTTGAGACCATCTGGGCCAGATGAGGATTTACTGCCAAGTAGTTTTATATGTTTTATCAGAAGATCCATAGATGATTGTTTTCATCTAAAACCTAGTCCTGGGTCCATCTGCAGCCAGCAAGAGCACAGAACACTGGACTAGATGTCTCCATGGACTGACTAATTGGCTAGGGTAGCTTCCATAACTAATTGGCTCGTTTATGTGCTCTTCCTTTTCCGTGAAAATAACTAAAGCATATTGAGCACTTGGCCCAAACAATTTTTGTTTTCAGTTGTTGAAGTCAGGGAAAGTTAAATGACCCCTTCAATCTACTTTTCTTGCAGATTCCTCTGAGGATCTGAAATTCTGCATTCTTTATCTGGCAGAGGTGAGTGTCACTTGCAAGTTAGCTTCCAGCCACAATTCCAGCTGTTTATGACTTACTGCATCCATCAGCCTCCTCCTGTAGCTGGTTGTCGAGGGCAGAAGAAAGTGTCACGGGGAGGCGGCAGACTGAATTCTACCTGGAAGAAAGCCTCTCAAAACATCCCAGCCTCAAGGAGCAGCAGTGAATAAGGAAGAGGGTTTCTTGGGCCTTTCTCATTGTGACATTTGTAGTTAGTGTTGCAATAGGCTTCTTTGCCATAAGGGGTCTTCTTAGTGCTCTGAATGTGAATAACGTGGTTCAAGTTAGGGTGGGGTAGTTACGTTCTTGGGTGCAGCCAAAATCCAGCATGGTGAAACTCTGAAGCCCTGATTCAGGAATATGCAGCTCATACCTCACTGCTACTTCCCCTGCTTTTAACTGCCGAGGTTGGATGGGTGATTCTGCAGGACGAGACCAGAGGCAACCTGCGGACCACGTTTATCCCAGTGGTCCTTCCAGAACGCCCCCCGGGTTGGTGGACCAACGTGTTGGACCTGCAAGGCTTTGTTTCTGTTTTGTTTTTGGGTGTGTGTGTGAGAGAGAAAGCTAGCAGGCAAAAGACATCGTTTTATCCCTTAAAAACTTTCACCTTCCCCAACATTGGCCTGATTTGCTTCAGTTTTGGAGGATGTTAAAGGACAAAATAGGAGTCTTGAGCCTTTTATCTCCCCAAATACTCACCCCCCAAATATTCACATGAAACAAAACTCACTGGCCACACCCTCTTTCTGGGGTGCACAAAGGTTGCCCACAGGGCTAGAGTACGCTGATATTTCTCCCCTTTCCTCCTCTGACTAGTGAGCTTGGCCACCCGACAGGATTATTTATCGTGGGTATGCAGCTTGGGTGGAGGCTCCATAGAGGAAAGGCAGGATACTAATGTGGGGCATCACTATTTGGCAGTAGAACTCGCCCCTCTTGGAATACGTTGTCTGTTGCATCTCTGAATGAATTGTTGGTCTCCTATCCTTCCAGTCATGAGTCCCGCAGGGGAATCTTAAGCATAGGTGCTTCTGAAGGCAGTCATGCTCACTCTCACATACTTTAAAAACAAACCTTTTCTAGTGCAGAAGGTAAAAGATGTCACCATCCAAGTGTAATTCAGAAAAAATGGGCGTATGATACCTGGAGGACTTTGAGGAAGTGAAGCCAGTTGGTTGGTCTTCCTTCAGAGTGTGTAAGAAGGAAACCGAATCTGGGCAGTAGCTTTTTTTAGCTGACTTGCCCATTTTAGCTCGAGAGCCAGCCCTTTCTTTACAGGCCATATGTTGATGTTCGACCTTTTGCATGATGTGGGGGGAGATGCCTGCCCTCACACAGGGAAAAGGCTCCTCTCCCGCTTTGCCAGCAGTCGATTTGCAGAGCATTGCTCTTGGCCAGCCTAATTGAATTGATGCAAACCGTTAATTCCATTATCGGTGGCACGGGCGGAGGGCTCAGGGATGGGCTCTGGGATTGCTCTTGAAGGAGAGTGCTTGGGAATCTTTCCATCAGCCTCTTGGGGACATTCTGCATTAAATGCTCTATGATCTGCATCTGCAGCTTTACCAGGGCTAGGTGTAGGCTGTACAAACCTGAATCCATTTCTTGTAAATCACCCCTTTTCATTGCTCCAAGCTAAGAAGATGCAGATGCTAGACGTCAGTAATAACACACGTGTCTTGCGTGTGTGAGGGTGCGCAGCGTCTGTTACCTCAATTGCAGTCCTTTCGGAGGGGACCTGCGCCCCTTGCTCAGTGATGCTGCTCTTCATGGCTTCCGGCACAGATAGAAGGAGATCTGTACTGGGAATTCTGCCCTGAAAGACAGCCATCAGTGTCTGGCAGGGCCATGAGAATGCCCTGTTTTCCCCAGAAAGAAGTGGAAGGATTAAATAGCAGGGTCCCAGCCTGACCAAGTTTACACCTTCCGTTTCTGCTTAAAGAAACGAAAACAAAAACAGCATGTCCAGTCCTGCGTCAGCCTGGGCCTGGCGCTCTCTGAGCTCTCTCCGCATTGTAGTTAACCCGCCTCCTTTTCCTGCTGGCCATTCAAGAGCAATGAGTAAGAGGGTGACAGACTTACCAGTGGTGGGTCCTTTCCTTGAGGATGGAGGCGAGGAGGTCACTGGGAGGGCGGTGATCTTAGTGCCTTCCCCCTTCACAGAGGCATCATTTGGTTTGGGCACTGAGCTGCTTTTAAAGTAACACACCTGGATGCTGTAGAAGGACGAGCTAAAGTTGGGGAGGGAGGACACTGACTCTGCAAGTTGACTGAAACAAATGACATGTAAGCCATCCAGCAGAGCTGAATAAAAATGTTTACTTCACTGAAGTTTCTATCCCTGCAGTTCCTTTCCTATTGGCCTTAGAGGTCAACCCAGATGGGCTCTTGGGTTTGGATTTTTGCACATCTCCAGTGGGAGAAAGATCTGGGAAAAAGCCCTCCCAGAACCCTGTCCTGGCATCATGGTGTAAGAACTGGTGCATTTAACTGGTTTTGTTAAAAGGGCTCCTTGTCAGCTGGTATCCCAGGTGGGCTGGCCAGCCCATCTGTGAATGTGGCAGCTGAGGAAGGCGAGCCACGGGTCCAGTCTGGGGCTGAATGTGGGTCTTGTGGAGCGCACTTTCCAGACCCGCCCTTGCCTCTGTGTCCCTGTGTGCTAGAAGCTGGAGTGTGTGCTCAGCCTGCAGGCTCACTCCCGCGAGCAGAAGACCAGGGTGTGCTGGTGCCTGATTGATAACATCCTGAAGCAGCAGCCGAGGACAACTCCAACAGCCCCCCCGGCCGAGAGCAAGGTAAGGAGCGGCGAGAGGGAGGGGCCCACAGGCTCTTCTGGCCTGCCGGAAGGGCGACCGAAGAAGTTAGGTGACCGGGCGTGGCCAGCCAGTACCAGGGTCCCTGCTTGACCGGGCGGAGGCAAAGTTGGTCAGTGCGTGAGCCGCAGGGCCTGCCATGGACCCTCGCGTGCGATGGTAGCGCCGGGCAGAAAAAGGGACGCGAGGGCCAACAAAGAGCCCGCTTCGGCCCCCTCCTTCCCCCAGTGGTCTGGCAGACACCTCCCGGGGACTCCCGGGGGGAAGGAGGGAGGGCCCTTCTTCCTGAGCATCCGCAGGGCACCCCGGTGGCTTTTGCCTTGGTGCCTCTGTAGTCTTGGCGACATCCGCGAAGGCTTCACCGGGGCTGCCTCGCCTCTCCTTAGCAAGTTTCAGGTGCTGTAACGGTTACCGATCAGGCAGGCGTTCGTCCCCTTAGGTATACTTTGCGCAGAGACCAGAAATGGCGAGACCTCCCTGCCGACTCCCCCTCGGCCTGCTGAGTTTTTGCTGCGAAAAAGCGGCTTGTTTTCGTGCTGCGGTCTTGGGGGAATGGGCACTTGCCTGTCCTCTGAGGGCCTCCTTGAGCTTGTT